TGTGAAAGATATCACGGACGGTTACATTTATCCTGGGACGCACAAATACGGGGGCAGAGGCGCGCCTATAGTCATCTACCAGCATAATGGACACGCTTGGAGAGAGTTAAGGTTCCCAAAGAAGAAGGAGACAAAAATCTACGAGGCCTCGCCATTGGCGGGGCTAATACATGAGAATTCCATTTGGTTGATGGATCCAGAAGGAAGCTAGTTCATGACCCAAGACGGCACTCTGTATCGCCCGGAAATCGAACACCAGCGCATCCAAACCGCCTGTGAAACCCTTGGGGAAGACTTCTCAGACGAAGTCCTTAGCTCTCGCAGCTTGGACTTCTTAGCCGCAAAAAGAAGGAATGGGTGGAAACCCACCCCAAAAGAGTTCAAAGACATAGCCAAAGCATGCGTAGAACACGGCCACGGCGGTCTTTGGAACATGGAATACGACGAGGAAGAATACGTATCCTTAGATATGAAACATTGTTACCCTGCGTCATTCAAAGGCCTGGGAGATTGTAAGGAATATTACGACCGCTACGGGCATCCAGACTCTCAGTTCTTCCGCGTGTCCTTAAACGGCCACTACGACGCGCCAGCTACGGGATTTGTTAGACTGACCAGTTGGAAGTTAGCAAAGGGCTTACACCCCATAATTTACGCTTGGTATGGTAAGCATCTGCAGGAGAAATAATGGATACCCGTACCATTGTTAAAGTTCCTTGAAGAGCGCCAATTGCTAAAATACACCGCGCATGAAGCCATACTTTGCCACAGTAGCTTCACAAAGTGGTTACCGGAGCACAACCCAACCGCAAGAATCGTCATAGGAAAGTTCACGCAAGGTGCTAAGGAGGGCGAAAAACATATGCAGCGACGCCTAATAACGGACGAAGGCGAACTAAGCTTCCTTATCAAACGCGCCCACGACCAAGGAACAATGGTGTCTGTGGAGAAATGGGACTATCTAGTAGAAGGTGAGCAGAGAGAACGTAAGTGGAATGATTTGTGTTACTACCAAGACCATCGACCGCAATATTACCATCTGCGTGCCAGCATGCTAGCATATGCGCATATCAACCTCTTAGCAATGCTCCTGCGGTTTGACAAAGAGGACGTTCCGCGCGTAGCTACGGATTCCTTGTACGTGAAACCGCACGTCTTAGAGAAGATGAAAGAATTCTATACNACTTATTTGGTTTAGTAGGTACAAACTTAGGTTTCAAGCACTTTACACAGAAGTCATAAACAAACTCTTTACATTCATGCATCGTATATAAGACAAATATTTTAACTTAGTAATGCGGGGCACCAGTAAAACCCGTAGAGAGCTTTTCGAATCGAATTACACAGGCAATACACATAGCGACCTTACGGGTAATACCCACGGGGGCCGCCTTTACGTGAGCGTGGGGAATACCCATGTAATTCCGGGGGGTGACCGCGAGTCCCCCTACCTGCTGCTGCACATCCGCGAGATGATTTGATAACTTTACAAGATACTTTGCTCCACAACCAGGAACAGGACAATCCCGACACACACGGTTTACCATCTTCACAGCTTGAACATTCGTTGCAAATGAGAGTTTTCTCAAAATGTTTAACTTTTATAAAGGACAAGAAGGCCAAAAACCAGGACCGCAGGGACAATATCAGGATGATCGGGACAAACCCAGGACAATACGATAAGCGGGACATTTTCTCATAGTTCCTAAGCATCGGGACAATAATCGGGACATTTTTTGTAACTTATTCATCGAAATTGTCCTTGTCATYGTACGTTTTAGGTTTTAAATCAGGACATTACGATCATCGGGACATTCTTCTTCCAAATTTGTCCTTAGCATTATCCTTTTTCGAGTAATGATTTATTTACGGTTGGGTTTGCTTCAGTGCGCTCCGATATGCAAATGTGATTAAGTTTRCTTGTGGCACTATTATACTTAATGGTTTGGATAAAAAGGTTCGCTTAATACGACAAATATTGTTTTCGATTCTGTTTATTCAAAATTAAAGTCACGAGAAAGTTTACTTATCCTCGTACTACATTGTGAAGTCTGATTAAAAAACAATTCAACGCATGCTGATTTTAAATGAACAAAATAGTCAGCATGCATGTTTCCAGTTCTTGAATTTTGTAATTTATCCCTGTTCATAAAAAGKTTTTTTTTGGTATCTTTGTAGATTCCATCAATAAAATTGTTTTGTCCCTCGTGATTCTGTTTATTCAAAATTTAAGTCACGAAATTACGACTGAATACTTTTACCAACTGGGCAACCTCATAAATTGGGAGTAGTCTATTCTGAACATATGAAAAAGGTATTCGTTTTCTAGTACGTTTTCTATTCGTTTTGCTTACAGTTGGATTTGCCTCAATGCGCTCAGATATGCAAAAATGTCTGTTTAGCTTGCAGGTGGCACTATTGACAAAAGTTATTGAGTAATTRTYTATAGCACACACTCAATGAATGACWTTCCACTTGAGTATAATCATCCTAAGTCGATTACATAAAATTATAATTATGTAAATAATTAACTTCGAGCTTGGTAGGCTATTTCTAGATTAACCYCACTTTTGCTTCAGAAAATGGGTAGTAGTTTAATGACCAGTATAAAGTCATKGCTATTTTTAGAATTGCCGGATTGCACCACTAAAAACAGGTTAACGTCATAACTGTTTTTAGAAGTTAGAGACTATAAAACTAAATGATTTCAGCCCTGATCTTATAAGCAGCTTCGAAGCGAAACAAGCACGAGATGAAAAACCAGACTTGTCAGTTGGATCAAAAGGTCGTTGAAGAACAGGTGAGATTATCACTTTTAAATACACTAGTACKAAGCATCATACCTAAAGAAATTAATTATTCTTTTTCTAATATATTTTGTATTTTATTTTGAAGATCACTGATTTTCGATGCAATCAGTGTGAAGAGACATTCAAACACAAGAGAAACTTAGTAAGACACGAGCGAGAGAAGCATAACCAGAAGGAGGTGTCACCTGCCTGAACTGTGATAGGAGGTTTGCCAGGAAGCACGACCTCGAAAGGCATGATGAAATATGTCAAGCGGGTTCATCAAAAAGAAAATCCGACGATGAAACCAGCAAAAAAGCTGAAACTTACTGATGCAGAAATCATTGAATATGAGGTATATTGAATCATATTATGCGATACATTCAGCCTCCAGAAATTAATCCTCGATATTTTATTAATTTACAGTTAACGAACATTCCCCCAAAAATGTATGATTAATATGATGGACCGATCCTGGGAGATGAGRAAGRGGTAAGTCATATTGGTATATTATGATATGTTTAATTGTTTTATGCTAATCTTATTATCTTAATTGCTTTTACAGAATGATGAACAGCACAGTGGAGGACTTGTCGAGCAGGAGTGTGCCTTGAACAATATCGCCACCAAATTCAAATACAAGCCCAATAAACGAGAAAAATACGACCTGTTATTAACCTTGGGAGGCAAAAAGAAGACGATCATGTAGCAACTGAAGAAGAAATTAAAGAAACACCGTGGGATCAAATGGTTCCTGTGCGTTCAGGTAAAAATGGTGRAGTCCAGTCCTGATGGCGAAGATCAGAACTCCACTCCACACTTCCGATCAACCTGTATGACTTCAGTCAATGACACAGAAATAGAGAAAGACTACACTCAGGCGGTAGAGAAAATCAAAACCTCCTTCCTCGAATATCAGCGCGAGGGAAGTGGATGGAAATTGGAGGAGGTGAGTTTTTAGAATGAATCACTCAAGCATTATACTTTATAATTTATGCGCAGACTTGTTTACTCATTGGGTTTATATTATTTTGTTCACAGGYGTTGCATGTGGAATTKGGGGTTGCCGCCTACACTCCACTGAAAGGGGCCAGTTACCTTCCCCTCCCCAAGAGGTTGAAGGATAAGAAGGCGGTCCTCAACATCCTCAAGATGCCAGATGAAGACCAGGCCACCCTGTCCTTCAAAGAGGTCCAGATTCAACTCAAAGTCCCATTTATCATTTATRMGRATTTTGAGTCCCTGCTYGTGGAATGTGACCACACCCCTTTGAAGGAAGGTGCAAGCGGTACACARAAAACCCAACACCACCAGCCCTGTGGGTTTGGATAGACGGTAGTGTCCACAGTGGAGGACTTTTCCCATCCCCCTGTGGTATACCGTGGTGTAAATGCAGTCGAAAAWTTTTTAGATTGTTTAGTGGAAGAGGAAAAACAGATCAATGAGATTTTTAAGATGGTAGTCCCTATGAATATAACTGAAGACCAGGAGCGGGAGTTTCAGGTAGCCACGGATTGTCATATCTGTGGGGGTCCCCTTGGGGCGGATCGAGTTCGTGATCATGATCATCTGACAGAGGAGTATAGGGGGGCGGGCCATAATGAATGCAACCTAAACTACAAGTTCACGGGTAAGATTCCTGTAGTGTTGCATAACCTCCGTGGGTATGACAGTCACCTGATAATGCAAGGACTCGGTAAATTAAATGCGAAAAAGATCAGTTGTATTCCCAACAACACGGAGAAATATATTTCCTTCACGGTAGGAAATTTAGTGTTTATCGATTCCTTGCAATTTTTAAACAGCTCCTTGGAACGCCTGGTCAGTAATTTAATTAAGGAAGGGGTGGGTAAATTTAAGACATAAATATGTAGAGGAGGATAAAGTCCCTCTCCTGTTGAGGAAAGGGGTGTATCCTTATGAGTATATGGATAGTTTCGAGAAGTTTGAAGAGCCCTGTTTGSCATCACGTGATTACTTTTACAGTTCGTTGACGGGCAGCACGATTCCTGAAAGTGGTTATGTGTATGCGCAGCAGGTGTTTCAAACTTTTCATTGTAGGAACCTAGGTGACTACCATGATTTATATTTAAAATCAGACGTCCTACTACTAGCAGATATTTTTGAGAATTTCAGAGACGTCTGTTTGGAGTACTACCAACTTGACCCAGGCCATTTTTACACGTCACCCGGTTTGTCCTGGTTGGCGTGTTTGAAGATGACTGGGGTGGAGTTGGAATTACTGACCGACCCTGATATGTATTTATTTGTAGAAGAGGGATTACGCGGCGGTATATCGATGATCACTCATCGCTATGCCAAAGCTAATAATCCTTACACCCCAGACTATAATCCAACACAGGACAAAAACTATATCATGTATTTGGAGGCAAACAACCTCTATGGTTGGGCGATGTCCCAGTCCCTCCCGGTCGACAACTTTGACTGGTTGAGTCCTGKTGAAATAGCAGAGTTCGATGTGATGGGCGTGGCAGATGACAGTGAAAAGGGGTATATCCAATAGACCAAGATGGCGGCTCTGGTCAGCCTTTTAAGAGTGGATGTCAGCAAAAATCAAACATTTCGTGACAACGGTCAGAATTTAGATTTCGCTCATATTTACAAGTTTGGTAGGGCTATAGGTCCTATGAATCGTGGTATAATTGGTTTGCTTAAATTCTTTTTATTTTTCGAGAAAAYCGAAAAGAACGATTTTTCGCTTCAACGCCCCTATTTTGGCGATRTAATGTTGCCTAAATTTCAAGGCTTCGCGTTGGATTGGAATACAAAATAACACCGTAAAATTCCGTATATTATTCGMATATTACTTAGAGTATCTCCCACCCAAGTTTGARGGTTTTTAACATAATTGTTTTGATAGAATAATATATTTTGGCTGACCTCCTCGATGACCTTACGAAAAGTATTGCAACTTCAAAAATTCATTTCACCCGGTACTACGYAAAATTATGCAATAAAATTCAGGATTTTTGAAAACACAATGTTGTCCTTGGTGCTAGTATAAATATTGTTTTATGAGCGAAATACAAGCAACTTGTATTTGAAGATTTTTTTACCACATTTGCATAGTCGGCAAAATCAAAAGAATTAGGTTTTATGAATAAGTTTGCTCTTTTTCCTTAAACATTTTATTAAACTATCAAACGAACTTGGGAAGTTAAAYTAAACAGATTTATTAGCTTTGAAAAACATATCCTTTTAAATTTCTTAAAATTTTAAAGTTGTTTTTCTTTGCAAATCAAGCCGATAATGTGAGTAGTCGAGTGATGCGTTCCGGCGACTTTGTTACATCATTTTTTAAATATATTCAACCAAGAGAAAATGAACTAAGAGAAGGAATCCCCC